ATTAAGCACAAACTCAAAAGACTTGAGTCGCGGTTGGAGAAAAAGAAAGTAAATCTTTCATGTATCCTGATTCATCCAGGATGAAAACTTGTTGTATTGTAAAGAGATAAAAAGTTCTTTGATCCGCAGAAGAAATGGAAAGAATCTGCAAGAAAGATTATTTTTTTACTAGCAGGGCTAAGTATCACCCTAGAACCATCTCCTTCACAATGTTTCTAGTGATCTTTTCAAGATAAATTTTAAAAAAATACAATAAAAGATAATCGTATCAATGGTTAGTAGGTGAAAACATATTACTGCCTAAAGCAAACCCAAGACTGGATGTAATGCAGATCAGAAAATTTTTATTATGCAATTTAATTAAAGTTGTAAAAAAATTAGCCTTTTTGCCTGTTCTCGTTATCACTAGATTTTGAGGATTCCAAAACAATCTATAATTTTAAAAAGCATTAGTGATCCCTACTGCAGCAACAGTTAACTCTATATATTTCATCAATCTTACTCCTTCAATAAACACAGGGTTTTAAATAAGATGAAAATAATAGCAGTCCCCATAATCTTAAAATCCAGGTGAAACAAACATCCTTATGGTCCAATAACTTGTAAAACATAACCAGGTCACTACACCAACATACTAGTGGTACAACTTTAATAACTGCTAGTGGCAAAACACTTGGAATAGCCATTAATAAATGTGTTCATTGGATTGTAGAATAATTTCTTTATAAGAAGTAATTTTTAAAAAGTACTCTAAAGTACAGTTCAACTGCAGGCAAATATGAAAGACATCAAAGATCTTGTTTATCCCCACTTTTCCCAGTGGAATCAGGTGCAACTGGAACCTTACTAGTTTCAACAAACACAGATTCAAAAGCAGCTTCCTGTTCATCCAAAGAATCAGCAGCTGTGGCTCCTTTAATTAATGTTGTGTTGGTCAAATTTTGTTGCTGCGTGGAAATTTTACTGGATTCCACTGTTTTTCTACCTCTTCTTTTACCAAGAATTTTGACATAATTAGCAGGTATAAGTCCTGTTGTTTGACCATCAAGACTAGCCAGAAGCCAACCACGCACCTTGGGTTGCTGTTCTGATGAAAGAAAAGACAGCCTTGTAATTATAACATACTTTGGACATCCAACAGAATATTGATAGTAAAATATTAAGTCAAATCTGTATTACACTTACACAATAAAATATATAAACACATAGTATATACATTTATATTCAAAATCAAACAATGATAGACTTAACAGTTCTAGTGTCCCTTATAATTTTTTACTTTTTATTTTATACTTACTGAATATCTTTTTCAACCTTGAAGAACATAAAGTTGGTCCATTCATAGGGTAAGGAGATTCAGCTCTCCCAAAAGCTGAAAACTAACACCAGTGCCTTTCCATTTTTAAACTGGAATTTAAGAAATTAATTTCTCATTCATTCTCAATAGGATTAGTTAGGGATGTATAGAACATAAATATATACCTTCATATCAGCTAGCTTTCTTTACATACTTTTGGCCAAAATATAAAATTCATTCTATGTGATTGTGATGAACNAATCCTAATCTGCATGCTGGCAGACAGACATTCACACTCACAAGACCCAAAAGGATGTAACTTGGCACCAAAGTCATTTAGTTTGGCAGAAGGATAGTACAGCCTAGTAAACATGGCATGGAGAGGACAGCATCCTCCTCATGTGCCACAGGACCTATGATCTTATAAAAATTCCTGAAGGTCTCCTGTTTCAGGTTTCTGCAATAAGGAACAAGCTCAGTTACCAGCCCTACTTTACTCAGAAGTCTCAAAGCCTGTGCCTTTTCTTTTTACAATAAAAAAATGTTGCTGGGTAAATAGCTGGCTTTCCATATTTATCTTAACCCAGTAAACTTCCCTAAAAACAAAACCATGCTAAGGAAAAGATAAACCTAAGATAATTTTCAGAGACACAGACAGAAGAAGAGGGGAGAGGGAGAGGAGGGGTTTTGTTAACCCTTTCCCCTTAATGACTTCCTGGAGAAAAAGTTGGAATCATACCTCATACTATACCCCAAAATTTCAATTAAAATTAAAGAGCTAAATGTAGGTGGTAAAACTATAAAACTGACAGAGGAACTAGACCTAAAAAACACAAACAATTGGGAAGAAAATTAAAGATTTCCATTCCATGAAGGACACTAAGACAAGAATTAACAAATGACAAAACTAAGTTATTTCCAATACCTAAACTTGACAAGGGAATAACATCTAGAATACATAAAAAATTTCTTGTGCTATAATCAGGAAGAAAGAGAAAAACCTAACAGAAAAATGGGCAAATTGTAAGTATATTATTTTTCACAGAATGGAAAACCAGAATGACTAAAAAGCATACGCTTAGCCACATTAGTAATCAGATAACACATATTAAGATAAAATACAATTTCACACATCACATTAACAAAAATCAGGAAATATCAAGTGCTGCTAAAAATGCAGAGAAAATGAAACCTTCATATCTTGCTGGCGCAAGTGTAAACTGGTACAACCATTCCTAAGAACAATCCAGCATTATTTAACTGAAATTAAATATGCATATACCCCAAACCCCATTTAACTGAAATTAAATATGCATATACCCCAGACCTCACTTAACTGAAATTAAATATGCATATACTCCAAACCCGAGGCATTTTACTCTAGGAGATTATATATATATATATATATATATATATATATATATATATATCTCAATAGAAACTACAGGGCAGGTTCATAGGAAGACATGTACAAGTTTGTAGAAGTGGGAACAGCTGGAAACCTAAGTATCTATTGACTAGAGGAAAAGATATAGTATGTGAATGCAATAAAATAATATGCGTCAGAAGCATGCACTATAAAGTAACATGAATAGGTCTTCAAAACCTAATATTTTACGAAAGTTAGAAGTAAAATAAGATTTATACCATAATATCAGTTTTATAAAATTGAAAACTTATACAAAAGAAATATTATGTAGTTTTTTGAGGAAATAAATCCAAAATTTGGAAGATGGCTTGAAAAGATAAACATTAAATATGTAAGAAATGAAGAGTATGGAATTGCAAGCAGGAGATGAAGAAAAACTATTAGGGTAAAATAAAACAGAACAAAAATGTAGCCTTTCCAGACCAATAACATTGTTGTCATTAATAAAAAGAATGATCAATGACTGACTCAATTCTGAGCACCTGAGATCCCTACAAATCAAAACAGAATGCTTATTTTCCATGAGCAGAAACACTGTTAAGACTTAAGTTAGATTACTTAAACAGTATTTAAATGTGGAAAACTATTCATGGGGCATAATATAGTAAGTACCCCACAGGATCTGTGAGTTAGCTGACTTGAAAAGAAACAGTGCATTCTCCCAAATAAGCTAAATACAAAAAACTATATACTATGAAAGGACATTTCAAGGTAATGCTGAAAAAACAAATTTCTTGTGCTGAATAAATATTCCACTGTGTTTTTCTAAGTTATGCTGTTCTGGTATTCAGCAAAATAATTTAAAATTACATTTTGGCAAAGTACAATTTTTAATTATGTATGAATCTGAGATTCTAGATGATATAAATACTTTGTGACATTTTTACAGGATTTAAGAAATTTAAATATACATGGAAAAATTTACAAACATAACTGCCATAACAACTTACTTTTGACTGTGCTTTATATTTTTAAAAAGCACTCTCATGTGAGGCATATATAGCAGCTATGCCCAACATTACAATGAGGAAACTAAAAAATAATGTGAGTTAAATCCTACAGTAAGTAGTAGTGGTGTCCAGATTAGATTCTAGGTCTCCCAAAATCTAGGTTTGTGGTCTTATTTTTATTTAACTTACATTCTAGATAATTTTTATATAAATGTAAGTCTAATAATTTTCTTTAAATCACAAGGAAATAGAACAGACACATTGGTTAGTAGTAGTAAATATACATGCCAATATGAAGAAAAATAGACCTTTTACATATATCAATTCCCATCTTGCAGAGTTAAGAGTTTATCTTAAAAAAAAAGTCAATCGAGTTTAATGTATTTTTATTTGTCCAGTAAAAGTAACTTCATGGTCTATTAAAAATAAAATTTTAACTGCATTCAACTTCTGTTCTTTTTTCCATTAAAGAAAGCACAAGATAAAGGACAGCTATATTCAAGTAAATGTATAATTATGACACACTGACAGACTAAATCAAGTGCCTACTAAATAAAATGTTAAAACATGAAAATGTATAGTCCTCTTACCTTTTCCTTTCTAAACTGATAAAATACAAACAGAAAAAATTTGTAAATGAAACCTGTTTTCTTATTGTAACTTGTGACTTATTATTTTATTTAATTGAAAATGTTGTGGTTTTAGTAATTTCTGTAAAGTAGTATTCCTTAAATAAGTTCCTAAAAATAACAATACTGGAGATTTGAACATTACATTTAACCTCATCTAAAATATTACACTAAAACTGGCATTAAAAAAAAAGGTAACAAAATTTCTCTTATTCCAGTCCTCAATTCCTTTTGTAGAATTTTAATAAAAAAGGAATTTTCAGACACAAATAGTTATCAGTCAGATAATGTATACTGCAATTTAGTATACTTAACCAAAAAATAAACACCCTAAGAAAAGTGAAATTGTTTTGTTATTCATTCTGAGTTATACTCTTCTCCCTACACATCTTTAATAGCAGTTACAAATTCTATCATAAAGACTCACCTTTTCTAACCTAGACAGTGCAGACTCAACATTTCACCTCTACTTCACTTATAGTATTCAATTCAGATATCTCAACACCAAATTTAATAATTTGTTTTATCAAAAATTTGTTTCAAGAACAAAATTTCCATAAATTACTTGATAAAAAAACATAGAACTTCTAATTGTAGAACAAAAATGGAAAATAATACACAAGAAACTTTATCTCAACTTGAAGACTAGGTAATGCCTGCATATTA